ATCTAGGAAACTAAATCTGAATGAGACCTCATCTGTTGAGGCTTGGATCAGAATTATTAGAATGTTATCATATTTTATTTGAGGTTCTAAACTGTTTTTGTTTGTATATTGTATATGGTGTTGTGATGGAACCCACCCTAAGCCTGCTATGTGGGGAGGTCGGGATAGAAATCCAATAAAATAAATGAATAAATAAGTGTTCTCTTCTACACCCCCTCCAGAAGTGGCTGCATTTACTGAACAGTGTACACACTGAGCTGACAAAGGGACCGTTGACTCTCGAAAGCTTGTACCCCCAAACCTTGTTGGCCTCTAAGGTACTACTGGACTCGAATCCAGCTGTTAACGCTGAGCTCTGAGTTTCATTCAAGTAGATAAGAGTCACAGAACCCTCCCTTGTCACTAAATGATATGCAAGAACTTTCTGAGACAAGCAGCCTCAAGCTTGGTGTTATGGAGTGGAAAGCAATGTAATCTGACAGTGACAGATGTGGAAAGTAAGAGGATCAAGGTCTTCCTGAGAGGTTCGAGTACTGACTATGCCATTCTAAGCAAAGCGACACCCTTCCAAGCCCATTGACTTCAGTGGACTGAGAAGGGTGTAACTCTGCTCAGGAAAAAGGAGTTTGTTTCCGTTGCCATCCTCACACTCCGAAGGAGACCAGAACCACCCACTTTTCACAATTCTGGCTTTAGAAGTATGGAATTCTGCATCAGATCTATTGAATGGCTTAGCCTTAAATTGCTTGTCTCTCAGGGGGCCCAATTCCACAAGACCCATTTCATGCGCAAGCTCTGCTGAAACCCAGCTGCCATTCATTCCAACATGGCCTCAGCAGGAGACCTTCTCCACTGGATCATACCTAGAATTTGTAACCAGAATTAAAATATATTTTATAAAATGAGACAAAAATAGAACAGGGGAACTTCCCTATGCCCTACCCCAAGCACAAAAGTCTGCTTCGGTTTTTAAAGCTTCCAGAAAGAACTAAACAATTAAAAAAAACCTTGACAGCAGCAAATATGTATTAGAAAATTTTTCCATAGTGGCAATTAATTAGCATCGCTTTAGGATTCAGTTATAGTCTTCTGTTTTTGAAAACCCATGGACAAATGATCCTCTGCTGTTCTTGCTGCTGAGAATCAAGAGATGGAGACACAGAAGAAGTCTGGTGATTTGTACGGATTTTGGACCAAAAGCTAAACTGGGATCAGAGATGACGATGCTGCTGAGACGATAGTCTCAGAGATAGCATGGGAGTTCCACTGTGAGTGCAAAGGATGCTTTGAATGTGACCAGGGACAGATAACACACACAGCTCTTTCCACATGAAGATATATAAGAACATGAAGGTCAAAGAAGATGAGATACAGAGTGACCCAAGATCGAATTGCCCCACAGCTTTTTAAAACTTTTAAACCAGCAGCTGGGGGGGGGGGCTGAATTGAATTGAGTCTGCTAGGCTGGGAGAAGGGGGAGAGTCAATCCAATGCCCTGTGACATTTTCCTAATCCCCCTCCCCTGGCAGGAAACCACATTCAGGAAAAAATATACAGTTGTCTTAACTTGTGAATCTCACTGCCACTAGATGCAAAAACTGCTTCCTCACACTACACATCATTAACTCGGGGAATTCACTGCCACTAGATGATTGCACTGGTGTAGATGGTTTTTAAAGGAGAAATGGAAATTTTCTGTCATGTTCATTTTAAAGGGGCTGCTTTTCCAAAGAGGAGAGGAGGTATGAGAAGAGAGCACCTTTTAAATCTTTTCCTTCCCTGCTGTTTTTAGCAGATAAAAGTAGTCGGGCAGTAATGTGCAGTTTCCTGAGAATTTGTCAAACAACCTTTACAAAAAATCTGTCACATCGGCCTGACCATCACCCATCGAGTGGCAGTGAGTTCTATGAGTTAATAATGTGTTGTGTGAGAAAGTAGTTTCCGTATGTGAGAAAAGAGCTCAGGAAACAGGTCCAGAGGCTGGGCATCTTATTACGCAGCTTAGTAATGGATACAGTGCCCTGGTGAAGAACTAGATGTATTTTTTAAACAGAGGCCTGGCCGTGGTTTGGAATACTTCAGACACTACCTGGCTCCATCCACTGACTTGAACATGTGAAGCTGCCTTCTACTGAATCAGACCTTTTGTCCATCAAAGTCAGTATTGTCTACTCTGACTAACAGCAGCTCTCCAGGGTCTCCGGTAGAGGTCTTTCCCATTACCTGGTCCTTTTAACTGCAGATGACAGGGATTGAACCTGGGAACTTCTGCATGCCAAGCAGATGCTCTACCACTGAGCCATGGCCCCTCCAAGCAGTGACATAAGCATAGGCCTCCTTAATCCCTTCTTGTCCAATGCCAAGAGCATCGCAGGCCCTGGCAGACTTCTCACACATCTCACACATACATCCTTCATAGCCTGCTGACTTCAACAGAGAAAAAGGTGTGATTCTTCTTGGCACGGTGGCTGGCACTGGCTCGTGCCCACCTGCATGTGGCTTGGTTCAGCAACAGGAGTGAGCCACTGAGGTGCATAATTTGGGGAAACTGGAGAGAGCATGGTTGCCAACTGCCTGGAGGGGGTGGGGAAACCCTCCTGTCACTATAACAGAGGCTTATTCTTTTATCAGATACTGTTATTTACCTCTGTGCTATGAAAAGCTTTTACTGCCCATTTCTGCTCATTAAGCCTTTCTTCACCCAAAGAGCTATTAACACATGGAATTCACTGCCACAGGAGGTGGAGGTGGCTACTAGCATGGACAGCTTCAAGAGGGAATTAGATAAGCATATGGAGCAGAGGTCCATCAGTGGCTATTGGCCACAAGGTATAGATAGGGACTCTCGGTCTGGGGTAAGTGATGCTCTGTTTTCTTGGTGCTTGGGGGGGGGTAACAGTGGGAGGGCTTTTAGTGTCCTGGCCCCACTGGTGGACCTTCTGATGGCACCTGGTATTTTTGGCCACTGTGTGACAGAGTGTTGGACTGGATGGGCCACTGGCCTGATCCAATATTGGCTTCTCTCATTTTCTCCTCTATTAAAAGCACAGGACATCTTTCTCCAGACCTGCTGGCAACCTTAGAAGTGAGGCAGCATCTCTTGCCCCTGTCCCCAGTAAAGAACCAGGTGCTACTGGAAGCCAAGGGCTCCACAAGATTGCATCCAGGGAAGCTTTTGGTAGCCATTACTCCCCGAGCTGCCTGAGACTGAGTCAGACCATTTTCCTGCTAGGGTCAGTATTGTTTATGGTGCCAGGCAGCAGCTCTCCAGGGCCTCAGGCAGAGGTCTTTCATCTCACCCACCACCTGATCCTTCTTTACCTGGAGATGATGGGGATCGAACCTAGAACTTTCTGCATGCTCTGCTGCTAAGCCACGGGACTGGGGCTGGAGTGTTTTCGCACGTAATAATCACCTCAAAACTTTTAGGAAAGTTACTTTGGGCATCATCTGGAAATCAAGATGATTCATTTTGGTTTTGCCATGGGGGAGCCAAAACTCTGTTTTCACTCCTTGCCCCGCTAGGAGACTTCTTTTAGCCTCATCACGCCTTTTCCTTTTCCCTGGGATTTTTTGAGACGGGTTCCCCCATGGGAGTGACAATACGCACATGCATACTAGAAGCATGCAAATGGGAATGTAGATATTGTCACATCTGATGCTTACACACATTTGTATTTAGCTGTATGAACTGGAGCAGGGTCACGCTTCGGACTTCTGGGAAGCTGCCGGGAAGTTCCTCCTTCAGATCTCCCCTAATGATGATGCACTCCCCCATGCAAGCCACTCAGACACCCTACAGCAGTTGGATGATCATTCTAGGCCATGTTATGTGGCTGACATAAGGATTAGTGCCTCACAATGCAGGCAAGGCGCTCTGAACACCCAAAGCTCCTGTATAAATGCCAAGATTCTTGCATGTGCAGCACACAGAAGAGGACCTTTGGGGCAACCTGCCTTTCCGATGCCTGTACATTCAGCTAGATGCGACTGACATATTGCAGAGTACATAGGTGAGGTATAGGTTCCCTACCCTCTGTTAACTGTCAGCCATGACTTGCAAGTTTTCCTCAGTTCCCAGATGGAATTTATTTGGATTGAGCATGTGTGGCACATGCAGAGCAGGGGCTTTTATTCTTCTCCTGCACCATTTTTTTAAAACCTAAAGAGGTTCCAGGGGACACTCTTTGGACCTCCGGGGAAACCCATCTTTCCCCCTGAGACTCGGGTGACTTCCTCCCCTGCCCGGGGCCAAATAGTGCCCCCAAGATCATTTCAAGTTGGGAATATGGCACGGGGGCTTTTTTTGGGGGGAAGGGAGAAACCTCCTCTCCATGTGTGCTTCTGTCCCAATCTGAATTGAGACCGAACTGAAGGCAGCCTACGTGTGGGAACTGAGGAGGACCCAGGACTCACATCTGCCTGTTACTTACACCGGGAGGAGGCTGAGGCTGGATAACACATGAATCAACAGGCTCCATGCACCGGTGGTTTCCTGCTTGCCAGCACTGCTGCCGCCGAGTGGTGTCATGTCTGAAGGAGTGCCGAGACGCAACGGGACTCTGTGTGGAGGGATCCAGGCTGACGGGGTCCTGCGAACGCTTTGCATGGGAGGCAGTCCAAGGAGGAGAATCCGGATTCCAAACTGCCCGCTTCCTAATTCCTCCCACTTGGGGAGGGTTTTTCAGGAAGATGCCAAGGCCCCCACCCGCCCGGCATCCGATTCTTTCTTTCTTTTTTAAGTCAAACTCGCTGTCAACTTGCAAAGCGGTCGTGGGAATCCCAGGTCAGGCTCTGCCCAGGAGCACCTCGGGCCATCCCGCCTCCTGACCCGGTAGACTTCTGGCCCGAGAGAGAGAGAGCGAGAGAGGGACTCCGGCTCTGCGGAGGAACTTTTCCTCCCCCCGGGGAGGACGAGGACACACACACACACACACACACGCCTGCAGCGGCATCTCCCCCCCACCCCCAACCCCCGGGGCGCCGGCCGGGACGGGTACCTCGAAAGGCCACTTTGGCGATCCGGTCGCCTTTGCCTCGCAGGTCGGTGACGGTCTTCAGGTGGACGATCAGGGCCATGGCGGGGGGCGGCGGGGAGGGCGCCCTGGCCGGGCAGCGCGGGACGGCGACGGGGACGGCGGGGGGCGAACCAGCCCAGGCGCCCTTCAGAGCTCAGCCATCCTCCTCCTCCTCCCCCCCTTCCTCTCCCGGCGGGGTGACCTTCGGCGGCGGAGCCCTTTCCACATCGGACTCTCCTCCTCCTCTTCCTCCTCCCGTGCCGGTCCGGCGGCAGCGGAGCGAGAAGAGGCGCCCGCCGCGGCGAGAGTTTGCCCGCCTCGGAGCAGCCGCTCGCTGGCTGGCTGGCTGGCCCGCCCGCCCGCCTCTCAATTATTCAGGAGCGCCGTCCGCTTGGCGCAGAAAGTACCGCGGGGCTCTGGCTGCGCCCCCGCCCCCGGGGCAGCCCCG